ACGGTTTTAATTTTCATTTGAACAAATTATTCTTTGATTGTTGAGATAATTTTGAAGTTAAATTGATTTATAGCATGTACGATGATTTTCAGTAGATGATTTTGATATTTTTTTTTTAATAAATTTACTTATTTTATATAGTATTTTTGAAACAAACATACAATTAAGTTGTCATATATATATATATATATCACATGTATATTCATGACAACTTAATTTAATAAAATAAAATGTAATAATATAAAATATTGCGTTTCTAAATGCATTTATTTGTAATGTAATGTTCATATATTTTTTTCTCTTTTTTATTCGTTTTGTTCGAAGCATTTTTTCATAACAACCCATGTCTAAGAAATTAAGAATTCGGATTCGTGTCGAATTCATGCTCGACATGTTTTGATATGATTTTTTGAGTTGATATTTCTATGCAGTTTCTCTTTCCAATTCGTGATTCGATAATCAAAATTGTGAAATATCGTTATCGATTTGTAGAATTAATTCCATTATTTCTTGAAATATATAAATTATTTCCTGTATAGCATATAAATATTTTTTTTCAATAGCAATATTATTTATTATTTGTATATTATTATTCAATCAATATCCATTTATAATTGATCTTTCAAAGGCTAAATTATTCGTTTCTCGTTATTCATTTATTTGACTATTTTTGACTTATTTTTCTCAAAAGAATATTTTCATTCATTATTTTCATACTTATTTCAAATAATCAGTACTGTATTTAAATTATGGTATTATACGTTTTTTTTAGTTTTCATTTTCTCATATTTGATGACTACTTCGCAATAACATCCCATGGATTATTGATGGAGATTCTTCGCATATATTGGTGAGTCGCATGCGTTATGTTCCTCCGCTCACTCAATCATGTCGTAGGATGAAAGATCCGAATCGACACGAGTGATTGGTTGTATACGTAGATTTTTACACGAGCATAGTGACATTTATTTTTTTGTGTGCTATTTGTTAAATCAGGATAGATTTTCTTGCACGTTGCATTTTTAAGAAATAATTAATTCGATTCTATAATTGAAAATACTTTCGCTGTAATCATTTACCAATAAAAATGAATATTCGAATGCATAATAAATTTTGAAATGAATATTATGTGCAAGAAAATACTTCGCGACAGGTAGATTTCTAAATCAAAGCAAAAAGTTATGAACATTGGTTTTACATTTTCGAGAACGTGCCTTGATGAAGAAATCGCCTGAGGTTATTTTCATTAATATTCTATTTAGAGTCAATTATTTTTTATTACAAATTATCGTACATAAATTTATTATTTATTTTTAATCTAATATTTTTCTTTTCTAAATTTAATAACATGCTTCATTAAATTTGTAATGTAAATTTATTAAAGTTTAAAATAAAATAAGATCTAGAATTAAAGAAACATTAGCTCGTTAGCATACAAACTTTTTAATCCATTTTTTTTAGCTCAGGATTTTCAGGTTTAACCCTTTCCGTGCCCATTGCCAGGATCTCACTCACGTGCTCAGGTGCTACTTGGGTGGGAGAGAGGCGATGGGCATGATGATCATATTTCATAATATTTGGTAACAATTTTTCAGCGATTGACGATGCGTTGTGTATCGTGCCCGACGTATTTTCCACATTGTGTATGTGTGGTTAGGCTGTGGAATTGCGTCGTTTCATCCACTTATAACTTAATAATAATGCCAATCAAGTTTCATAGCTTGTTCTAACAATTTAATCACTTTAAAAAAACATCTTTTCGTTGGAAAATATTCATATATACAGTTAAGATTAATTTTCATCGAGCAATGGTTACACAACTATCGTCAGTCGATTTCAGGAAAACGGTACGTACAGTTAGAGTGTGAATTTAGCGTGCCAAGCTCGGGTGTCGGAGGCGTTCCGGGACGCTTTCCCTAGTGTAGGCATTTTGCGCCCGAGTATTATGCGTGAGATTCGTAGAATGAATGTGTTGGTATGCCTGTTTTGCCATTTTTTAAATATAGGGTCAGGTAGGATAGGTAGTATACTTCTGGTGTGCCTGTTAAATTATAAGTAGGTAGGGTCGGGCAAGTTGTTTCTAACCGGATAGGCGTGTTATTCACGTGACAACTTGTTTTAAGAAATATAATTCGAAAAATGTAGGGTAAAGCTGGAACGAAGCTGGAGCGTGCCGCTCGTATTTGGCTTTGCTCGTCGATTTTTCGAATATTCACGAAATTGATTTCGAAACGAACGTCGAGCTCGAGAACGTCTGCACGCGTACGGACAATGGCGGTCGCAATGGCGATCGTCCACGTGCGTTCAGCTTGCGTTTTTTTTTTTTTTATTTGCGAGTAGGGAATCTCGAGCCTAGTCATAAGTTTCAGCGGGCATTGCGCCCGAAGAAGAGGCCCGACAAATTGTCACGAAGAGGGCTGCAACGAATGGCTTCTCATTTTTTGGAATCTTTTTTGGATCCAAAGAATGGGAAGTTATTGTCATTATTTTGTCACTGTGCTCGTTTCAGAATACGTAGTAATTGTTGTTGTGTTGTCTGCTGGCCGATTGCATGCCGGCCCATCGTTCAAATCCAATCATCATGGGCATCGCGATTTTTTATTAGTTTTATTAGTAAATTTTTTTTTTTAGATTAGTTTATATTAGTGTTGCGTTTGTATCAATGTCGCGAATTATAAAATATCGGATTTTTTTTTGTTATTGTAGTTTTTTATGAAATTGTATTAAGAATTTATTTCATTTATTATTAAATTCTTTCTTTAACGATAGCTTTTTAGAAATAATAATTTCTATTGAATTTTAAAATGTAGTGTTGCGTTGATAAATAATCGCGTTTGTTCAAGTAGTGTTGCGAATATTGAATGCCCAAATTTTTTCCATCGGAATTGTGGAAGTATTCAGTTCCTGAATCATCTTAAGATGGCTAAAAGATGAATTTTGGAATTTTACTAATTGTTTATTTGTTTCAGGCTTGTTTAAGGTGAGTGTGTGAAACCAAAAATATATTTACATTTCATACAACAATTTTACTTCGATTTTATTGAGATTTTATTCTAGATAAACTCTCTAAATCTATAAATTGTTAGACATATACAAAAGATATTACTTTAACATGTAGATAGAGACTACAAAGAATTCTAAAATGTAACTGCGTAACTTGTAGAATTGCTAGAATTACTGCTTGAAATAGAGTATGTTTGTGATTGTATTCCTGATAAATAGAAGTTGATGTGTAGTCTTGATCTTAAAGGTTGTGATATTAGGCCAATGATATAAAAATAGTTTTGTGAAAAATATGTAATTTCCTTTGATTTTTTTATTTCGTATTTATCAATATTTTATATTTTCATGACAATGAATGAAATATTGATATACATAAAAATAATGTATGCATGTTTCATTTAGAGTTATTTAAAATCAAAATGTAATTTAATTTTAGATTTAGATTTAGATTATCGAATTATCGGTTTCCCTTAAAATCCTTTTATTTTGCATAACAAAAGATCAAATATTTTACAAATCTACATTAAGAGGAATATTTATCATTGATTTTAAATTGATTTTTGTGTAAGAGAAGATGGATGGGATCGTAGATAGAGTAGTTTTTCAATTGATAAAATTTTCAAACTTGGAAAATCATTATTATTAATAATATTGATATTAATTTCATTAATAATATGATAAAACTAATTGGTTTAAATCGCAATTACAACGATTATTTTTTTATATTATCAAGATTTATTAAGTTATCGATCATTTTTATTTTGATTTTTAAAAATTATAATATATTATCTATTGACTCTCTCACAATAATCATGTAATATATTCAATTCAATATAATAATATTTATTTTTAATCGATAAATATTTTTAATCTTTAAGAAAGATAAATAATGATAGATTAAGAATTGTTTGTTTATGCCATCTCTTGAACATCAAAGATATTTTTTTGAACATTTTTCTGCCGATATTCAATTTTTGTTCTACTTTATCCTATCGTTAAACAGATATCTTTGTTCTTCAAAAGATGGCACTGACGATCAATTCTATCTCTATCCTTATTCCACTATTTTCTCTTCTTTTTTATGCGTTTCATTTATCTTCCTCAGCAGATGGCGCTGATTTTAATATTTTCATCCTATTGTTTATCTTTTTTCTATTATTTACTTTTGTTATTTATATTTGCTCTTTGCAAGTGATCATAGAAAATATTCAAAATATCAATTGAATAAATTTAAAAATTTTCATTCAATTTTAATTGATAACGAGTTATTTATCTTCTCTTATCCATTATTCTTCTAATCAAATGAAAACTTTCGTTTTATGCTTTTATCAGTAAATAAATATTAAACGTTCATGAAATTTTATTGTCAAAATTATATCGTAAAATATTCTTTGAAAACATTTTTCTCTTTATCTTCTGTTTCGAAAAATATTTACACTTTACTTATATATATTTCGATAATATGAAGGAAAAATAATAGAAGAAAAAAAGAAGGAGGAATGTATATTTTCTCCAATCCTTCGTTTATATTTCCATTTTAAATACATGTATATGACGTAACGAATACGAATATCATAATGATTCACCACGAAAGAAATTCAAACAGCTTATTCGATCTTGTTCATCTGATTATATGTTAATCAATAAATTATTTTAATATGATGAAGATACTTTTTTTGGATACAAATGACTTTGCGTTTCCTTTTCATTTGTACATAAGATAGAAAAAAATCCTGTTGTATCTTGGTTACAAAACTGTAAACGTTTGTTACTCGTACTTAAAAATACGAAAAAGTATAAAGTATATCTCTGAAATTAAATTAAAAAAAAAAAGACTCTGACGATTTACAACAAGAAATGATTATACAATGATTACGCTATAATCAACGCTCGTTATATTTCTTTTTATATTTCGCGCACAGATCTTGCAATTATATTATTCAATAAAAAAATTTCAACTGTATAGGAATAAATATGAATAAAACATGATGGAAATATTAGACGGACTATTACAATATTTATTTTAAGATCTCAACATAAATATTGCGATTGTGGATCTTTTTAAATAACACTGTAAAAAAACCGTTTGTTAAACAACCTGTTAGAAAAAAGAAGCGAAGAAACTGCCATAAATGTAAGGACGAAAATAGAATATTTACAAAACTTTACACCAATCCAGTTTCAGTTTGTGTACACATCATTCGACCGTCCTTGACGATCTATTCATTTTCTCATTATATAGTTTTTAACCTCTTGCATAGGTATATCGAAGATCAAAGTGACAACGATCGACCAGAACAGAAGTGAGACAAATTCGCTACCGTTAATCTGGAACATTGAATTAATTATTTGCAATAAAATCGGGGGAGGGGAGAAGGGGGGGAGAATTTTACGTGACGGGATAAAATGATATTTTACAAGTTTAAATATCTGAAACGTGTCCGGATATCTGATGGTAGCAACATCGTAGAAGAAAAACACGAATTGGATTAAATAGAACGAGTACGATATCTTGCTAAAGACAATGAACCAATGGTGAGAAAGGAATCTGTTCACTGCGCCTGAGAAAAAAAAAAAAACAAGGAATCGATCGATTCGTTTCGAGAAAAAATAAAATTCAAATTGAAAAAACGTAAGAAACCGTTACCTCCGTTGTTCGTGTGGCACACGAACACGATCCAACATTGGACCAAGATCCACAGTATTTGATGGATCACGACGAAATTGGTCAGCGTTTTAACGTTCAACACGTAATCTTTGCTCCCAATATCGTATTGCGAGAAAAATGTCCATATTATAATTATTATCGACATCAACCATCCTAAATTCATCACGATCTGAAATATATATATATATATATATATATATATATATATTATTATTTACTTACTTAA